CTCTCTCTCTCTCTCTCTCTCTCTCTCTCTCTCTCTCTCTCTCTCTCTCTCTCCTTCTCCCTCTGTCTCTCTCTCGGTCTCCATCGTTATGTCTCGTAGCATCGAACCTCATGAGTGACTGCTGACTAATTAGCTCAATCCGATAGGTGCGAAAACTCATGTTCTTCGTTATCCCGAACCCGAGTGAACATCTGTGGATACCCCCATTAACATCAAAGAGACTATGGAGGATCGAGGGTTACGTTATCACCTTTCTGATGATGTATGATTATCGAATTTCTCGTAAAAGGCTTATTAGATAACGCGTAAAGATAATTATACAGAGACATACGTGTAAAGTATATTCAACGTTGACCTTTGCCCTTTCCCACCTTCCTTTGTCCCTTATGACTTAGCCTCCCGCTTTCATATTTACCGACTAATTAATTAATGGGATCTAGTTTACCGACAACGGACGAACCGAGAGTCAAGAATCTTCCGTAAGATCAAGGAGATTACTCCATTTCCGGGTTCTGCTTATATTTCCTCTTCGGTCGTATCCGTCCTCCTTATCCTCATATTTTTCCTCCTCGTTTTCTTCGTTAGGTCGGTACCGGCTGAACGGATACTTTTTCATAAACGATCGGAAGGACGCTTATTGGCAAACGTTATATAAGGGTGGGACACGTGTCTTCTGTTTTCTGTAATCCTGACTAAAGTATCGGTGTTGGTTGGGAGGTGGTTCCATAAGTCTGTAATATTCTCTGGCAATGATTTCTTTTGTCGGTGTGGATGCACTTAAAGAGGTCGAATCTCATGGTTATGATTCCCAGTCAAAGTTTCTCAGTTTCATCCTCTACCCCTTTGAATTCCATCTTCGACCTCGCCCTATTCACCCCCCCCCCCCCCCCCCCCCCCCCCCCCCCCCCCCCCCCCCCCCCGCCCCCCCCCCCCCCCCCCCCCCCCCCCCCCCCCCCCCCCCCCCCCCCCCCCCCCCCCCCCCCCCCCCCCCCCCCCCCCCCCCCCCCCCCCCCCCCCCCCCCCCCCCCCCCCCCCCCCCCCCCCCCCCCCCCCCCCCCCCCCCCCCCCCCCCCCCCCCCCCCCCCCCCCCCCCCCCCCCCCCCCCCCCCCCCCCCCCCCCCCCCCCCCCCCCCCCCCCCCCCCCCCCCCCCCCCCCCACGCCGCCGACGTCACAGTCCACCGCAGTCCTCCCCAGTTAAAGACAGTTTACATTTTTACGAGGCTCATTCTCGCCGCACGGTTAGTTCCTCTTCCGGCCGTTTGACTCGGGCAAGAAGTTTTGGCCTTGCTCACCGTCCCCATGTCTAACCATCATCCCTCTGTCTTTTTTCCTCTACCCTCGTACCTATTCTCAGCCTCTATCCAGAAAACTGCTACCCGAGGTCCCATCTCTTTTCCCAGGAACTATAGCAATTTCTGAATACCGTACCGTCTACTGCTTTTCCTAGACGCTATGGCTCTTTTCGAAGTCAGGCCAAGTCCTCCCCCTGGTCCCCGGTCGCCCTCGTCAGGTCCCTCTCACAAGCTGTGCCAAACAAGAGGCTCCCACTGTACCCTGTAAAACTTTTGGCGTTAGAAAAAGGAAAATTTCGAAAGTATCTCCCCAGAACAGTCTTTCCATTCAATCGTAACTCAAAATCCCTGTTCCGTAACCCTTTGGGTTCAATTACATATATATTATCAAATAAAACCCTTGGAGCCACATGGAACATTCTAGAACTTCATCAACGCCGGACTTCATCAGCGAAGATCCGCATGGTAAAATTGCCAGACTGACATATCGCTCGGATCCGAAACGGCGCTGGAGCGTCGCGACGCTGCGACGTCGTTATTAGGGATCCCCAGTGTTATGCTCCGCTTGCATTCCGCGTCCACAGGGCACGCGAAGTCTCTCTTGCCATCCCGGCCAGGAATAGGTAACCTGGACAGTCCTGGTATGCAAATGCCTGGTCCGTACAATCAAAGCTCAACGGCGATACATATTCAAGTGGTCAGCAGACAAACAGACTGGGTGCAAACGGTACGACAGTGCCATCTACATGCACCCTTGTACATGGTATATATGTATATATATAAACAGACAGGATAACGGATCTCCAGCATTCCTATATGAAACGCCAAGGGCAGGAAGACATTCTGACGGTACCCGAGAGCTCGTCAATTTCCCATTTGATTTGAGATAACCTGGATGCTCATGACGTACCCACGTATGTACCAGCTTATCAGCCCTTTGATCATTTTAATTTCAACATCTTCCGGTGACACTTCGTTAACGACGGAACGTAATAATCCGAACTCACATACCTCGTACCGTCACTGCTGCCAACCTCATACGTGTGGTACCACGCTGAAAGCGCTTCCAGAGTGTTTGCGAATCCAAACCTCAACATCATTTCGAGTCCCAGAAGTGGTTGGCCAGTTTGCCACGCCGTGGGGTTGGCAGTGCGAGGGCAAATGATCGATGTCCGGAAGGGACGCGGGTGGAAGCTTATCTGAGCGTGCAGGCGGCTTGTGTGTTTACTCATGGCGGAGCTGCTGCCGGTTTATGATGCTACTGTGGCCCATTGGTGAGGTCGAGGTTGACGTCGGGTAACGTCGTTAGGGAACCACTGGCTCTGGTCTAACCTGGTCTCATCCTCGGAGCCTATATCGCGTCTCACAGGCGGGCAGTAGCCTTTTCCCATCACGGACGTAGCTGCGATAGACTCTTGGAGCGGTCGCGTCGAGTCGACCCAGATAATGGGTATGTCGTCGGGACGTCGGTGAGACGCCCTAGCTCACCTACCTATATCCTGTGCCGAGTGGCTAGGTTAGCTACTCTGGATAGTACCTAGGTGGTACCTACCCAGAAGAGCTTATCGCGAGGCTCCAGTGTGCAGGGGAGGTGCAACTGGTATACTGTGGTCGGCTTATCGACTTCGTGGCTTACTCCACTATGACTGGAGAACTACCCCTTCGTCCGCGAGGGTGAATGTCGAGCGAGAAATATGGATCGAACGGAAACAGTTTAGCTCGAGCGAGAAATGCACCGAGTGCATCTACGGAGGGTAAATCGTGGTGGGGGTAGAGGTATGTGGTAGAGGGGTTGGAAAAAGAATCATCCCTTACGGCAGAAGCTCGGTTACTCTTACTGTATAGGGGTACAGATATAATGTAACGTATTGCCATACATGCTTCTTGCACGGGTCAGGAATTTATCTTGCGCTACGCATCGGTACGTTCTGCACTGCGAGGGAGGGTGGACGGTTGGGGGTGCGGAGGAAAATGAAGAAAATAAATAAAAGACACTATCGGAAATGGATGAAGAGGAATTTCTCATCGGATACTTCGGTCGAGGATGTTTCATTACACTTACAGGTTGTAGTGGACGTCCGCCATGTTGGGTCTGTGTCTAAGGGCTTGTACGAAGGCTTCCTCTGCCTCTGATACTCGTCCCTGAGCACTCAGTACGCTTCCCAAATTTCCGTAGGCTGAAAGCAAACAATAATAATAATAATATATAATAATACAATGTATTATATTTATTATTACACAAAGTAGGCTTTTCTTTATTTCATTTCTCAATATTGAGAACTTCTGCTTTTGTCAGTTTCTCTTGTTCGCTCATAATTTCGCAAGGAGTCCTAACCTAACAGGGTAAGATCGTGGGGAGGGGATTTATTTTCGCCGTAGGGATTCACATTAGAGAAGAGAGAGAGAGAGAGAGAGAGAGAGAGAGAGAGAGAGAGCCAGTCGCGATACGCCGATGCCAATAAAATATTGACATTCTACCCTCCTTGCTGGGTGTTATTTACGAGCGATAAACCCAGCAGGACCAGGAAGTTCGCTAGAGTCCCTTCTGCCTGTCCCTTCCTATCCGATAGAGGGTGCAATGGGTAGAGTAAATTTGGTCAGGATAATTTTGTAGGAGGGAATCAGGATCGCTTCTTAAGCTTCTGATAAACGCGTATACACCGACGCAGTATGACAGTTGTGTGTGCGCGTTACGTACGGGTATATTGTGCACAGGAGACTACGAGAAATTAGAGTAGCGTAACGCGTGTACACGCAGTTAAATCAACGAGCGTTACGGGTAGAGTAGAGAAGTGGCGCCCGCCGACCTGAGCCAACAGAATGCAAATTTATTTCCCGAAGCAGAGGCTGTTAACACGGTAACACGCAATTTCTGTCGGCGCAATTAAAATACGCGAGCGTGGCGGCCCGTTGCCGCACCTCGCGTGACCGCCTTCCACTACACACCCTGCACTATCGTCCAGAGGGAAGATTAAAAACGAAAAATGTGTTGCGAGCACCACCGCGAGCCCTCTTCTCTCTAGCGGCACTGTTATTTCGTTGATAGGCGGCCATATTCTTGCTTCCTTTTATTTCCATCCCCTCGACCCCACAATTCCCTTCAGCCGCATGTGACCTACTCTTTGCGTCGATGAAAAAAAAGAAAAAAAAAAAAAAAAAAAAAAAAAAAAAAAAAAAAAAAAAAAAAAAAAAAAAAAAATTAGACCGGCGATACAATAACGTCGAAACTCAAAAGACAAAAATTGATTATCTTTGTTGATTATTATTTTTCCAAAAAATTACCTAAAAATATTTCTTTACCTTTTGGCGGATTCACATGAAGCGCCGATCTGTAGAGACTCTCCTCGTCGTACCAGTCGAGATTTCTTCTGAGTGTCTTGGCTGACATGATAGCTAGTAGAAGAGCCGTTATCAGTAGCACAGCCCTGCCCCAGGCTCTTGAGATTCTTCTGGCGACACGATAAGCCCCAGCAACGGCTGCACCGATTAGGAGACAGGAACCGACACTGGGTAAGTAGAGAACGCGCTCCGCGATGACGAAGCCGACGTAGAAAAGAAGATTGCTGGCTGGTAAAAAGGGAAGAGCCAGGAAGCCGATGGAGGTGGCCACGGCAGCAGGGAAGGTCGTGCTCGGGAAGGATATTGGCTTCTTGGGGCAGTAACAGACGCCGATGGGACCGTTGTTGTTGTTTGCTGCACGGCATCTGTCTGTATGGCAGCCGGTCCTTCTGCCGGAGCAGACGGGACACCTCGAGGATGATCCTCCGCGTAGTCCTCGGGCTGCCCAAAGTCCAGCTCCTGCTAAAGCGGCGTAGAGGCAAGCTGACTCTAGGTTGCGCGGGTCCCGGAGACTGGTGATCCTGGGCACAGCATCCATGGACCAGTCGAAGCTCAGAGTACTGGGACAGAGCAGCATTCTGGCGCTGACGGCTGGTAGATAGAGGAAGGTCAGACCACGGACCAGCCTTGATGGATGTCTAGCTATGGGGTTGTCAGCACTGGCAAACTCCGGAGGAGCGCCACCCACTTTCAATCTGCCCAGGACCAGGAGCAGCAACCCTCCTGAGAGGACGCTCACGCTGCGACGTCTTGTCCAGCCGCTTGTACCCTGGAACAAGGATATTCGATAGTTAGACCCCAGTGCAAGCTGAGCTGTTTCAACAGCTCTACCTCGTTTCTAATTTCATAGTATAAATCAGTGATGGGTATAAACCAGCGTTCTCTCTTTGCGATTCAAGTACCCTCTTCTGATAAGAGCACGGAGGCTAAAGAGATCGCGATAAAGGGAATATGGAAATAGGTGCACGACACGTTATGCGACATACTCTAACATTTCCAATTTCGAAGACCATGGTGCTCGCACTTCCATGCCTCCTAGATCATACATAATGGCTGCCTATTGTGATGCAAAGTTTGGAGGCTGGTCGACGATACCCAGCGGCAAACCCTGCGAAGTGCCGGAACCCACTGCCTGAAGGGTGGCCCACTTCCGAGAGGCAATGAACTGCCCAGAACTCCATAGACCCAGAAGGAAGGTCTTCACGCGTTATTAGGAAGGTTATCGTAGCCGATTAATGCCAGACTGAAGATATTCGAGAAGACGTTATACCCCGCACTGGAAAGGGTCTCGAGAAGCGCTAGGAGATGCGAACGACCCTTGGCATCCCTCCAACCCTCTGTAGGGGGTCGACATGCATCACCCTAGGCGTCTGGTGCACCCAGCGCATCCGGATGGGCGTGCGGGGGGTAGCGGCGTTACTCCTGCAGTCTGTGGAGGAGTCGAGCCGGAGGTGGCGAAGCTGCTGGTGCTGGTTGCTGTAGGAGCTGGAAATTGGAGGATGAGGTTGAGGGAGGTGGAGAACGTATGGCAGCAGGGAGGCTCGTGCATCAGTTCCCTGTCCTAGCCACGCTGCAACCACCTCCACTACCAGAACCACCACGAGCAACGCTATAACCACCAACGCACAGGACCGTGTAGCGGCGCCAGCATCATCAGCAACCTCATCGCCCTCAACAGCGTCACCTCCCGGCATCCCGACGTTTCGTAAGCTTGGATTGTTTTCACCTCCAGCACCGCACGCCCGTCATGCAAATTGAAACGCAGCAAGACTTGAGCAATTTCACGGATCGTCTGGCGGCTGCTGTCGTTTTTCCTGCCACCTCCCGCTACTTCACTCTTCTACGCGCAACACGAAGTGCTCTCACCTTTCTATCGGGCTCCCCGCGGCACACCTCCCACAGGAGGCACAGAGCCAGGGACGAGATACCGGTCTCCTTGGCCAGGGTGGCCAAGATGGAGGATACCAACGTCACGGCTAGCGGGATGGGCGAGCGACTCTCGGCAGAGTGCGCTGCGTACGCCAGGAAGGCGATCAGGGTTAGAAGGCAGGCCAGTAGATCGGCACGACCTACGATCCCAGCTACGGCCTCACTGTGAATCGGATGAACGGCGAAGAGGAGACCAGCTATGGCCTGCGCTAGATTCTGCCCCGGTAAGATCTGAAATAAAAGATAAATACTCTTAAATACACCTATCCCGTATCCAAGCGTTATCCCTGATATAAATATTAACCTTCCTCGCCGCCCTAACAACCAGACCAGCACAGGCTGCGTGGAGAGCGACGTTCACGAGATGATAGCCTCGAGGGTCCAAACCACCGAGGAGATGATTAAGCCGAAAAGTGGCTACACAAAGGGGTCTATAGCTCCCATGGGAACCGCGCTCACGTAACGGAGTACCCCAGAAGTCGTCCTCGAGCAGTCTGCTCCAGGGTGAAGTTGGCAACAGATCAGGATTCGTCAGTATGGCTCTTCTGTAATAAAACAAAATAAAAAGTCCCTTTAACTTCGTGAGTGCCAAAAATATTAAATCAAAGATCCGATCGAGTGTCGCTAATAGTAATCGTAGTGCCTCCTGCTGAACTCTCATTAGGGACCACGACTGAAAGACGAGTATCAGGAATGTCCCTTTACGGAAATTAACATGCAGACGCTTCAGTGCTTTCACTGGTGTGCGAGAGTCTCTTGAAGAAAGTAGCTTCGAGTGTCCTCTCGGCATCGCTCGACTCTAAACCGCTTATAATATTAATCGTACTACCCCCGCAGCCCTCAGGAAACGAGACTGCTCCTTCTCCTTGATGAAGTAAAGGATCCTTGCCACTTTTACCACGCAGCCTTTTTTTTCAATAGCTATATATACTAAAGGGGATGAAGGGGTATACATATAAGTGGAATAGAAAAGCGTCGTAGAGGGCGAGTGGGGATACGGGATGAGGAAAATAAGTAAAATATCGAGAAGGGAGGACGATCTGATACCATGGGGATGAAAGGGCCAAGAGGGGGAATATAACTCGCGAAAACGTTTCTAACCGTATATAAAGCGCCGAGTTATAACTGAATTCGACGAAGCTTCCCGTCAAAGTTACGAAAAGCATTTTGTCCGAGGAGCAAATCGTCGGATCGATATCGCATGAATTCGCAGAAGGCAAAACTGGCAAAAGTGCCATTGAGTGATGCATCGGGCACCTAACCCAACCTGACCCCAACAGCTACGTAATATCAAACTGACGTTTATTTAAAGAAAAACTCGTGGACCGGTCCCGATCAGTCTCATTCGTTCGGAGATTAATTCCGATGGTCCATTGGGAAGCTTTAACGATCCATAGGACGAAAAGCTCTGATCGACGAGATCAGCCATGTCCAACTGCGACGGCAGCCCGACGCGCTCGGATGCGACGTCGGTTTTAATTGACAATTAATATTCATGGGAGTGGATTGGCCGGCGAATAGGATCGGATGCTGCTGGACCACGTTGGCGCGAATGGGAGAGCATATCCTGCATCGTGGGGCAGGATATCGTAATTTCAGAAATGCGTCAGGAGAAAGGGTTTCCTTTTTTTTTCTTGTCACGATAGCCCCACTCGACGCTCTTCGTCCAGGTCGTACGTCAACGACAGGACGTTAAAGGACGATGCGATTGGAAATGCCAATAGTCATTCTCGAATATAAAGACGGGTTTTCCGGGATTTCGTCCTTGGAGTGAGATGCTGGATCCTTGATTCAGGACGATGCCCGACGTCGGGCGTCTATTCTCAATTGCCTTCTCCTACCCACTGGGTAGTCCCGACGTTATTGCCTTCGGGAGAAGAGTTAGAGTCCTTGCTGGAATCATCCTTGGGATTTGTATGTATATATATATATATGTACTTTCAGGATATAAAAGATTCTCTACGATTATGCGTCGATCGATATCCTGTGTTACCGTCCTGGACACGTTAACACAGTCGTCTACGACGTCGAGCCAATTGTACCGTTAACGAGCTCGACGACGTCGCTTCAATCGATGTAAACAGCCTTATTAGCTGTGGCCGTTGCTAGTCTTGTGTGACGAGGGGACAAAAAAAAAAGAAGAAAAAAAGAAAAAAAATTGTCTCGTAAATCAAACGAGTGGGATTCGAGTCTGGCTGGAAACAGCAGGGAAACGCAGCTTTTATTGGAAACCCAATAGCCTGGCAGGCAGCACTCTGTCCCTACAGCCATTCGGTTCGACGTCAACGTCACTGTCAACGTCAATACCGACGTCGACGTCGATGTGGTTGCAAAAAAGAATCGTCGGCATATGCTCTCCATCGCGTACCGATTTGATGCGCGATATGTGACTGGAAATATTCATTCTTGCGATTTTGACTGACATTTTGGTCTGGGTAATTTTTCTTTTTTTTTTTTTTTCTAGCACTTTTTATCTTTGTATACGTCAATAATTTTCCTGGTCTGATGCGCTCTTGATATATGGGTATTAGTGTATTATCATATTGTAGCTATGTGCATATGATATTCTATTGTATCATCACAAAGCCACTTTAGGGTGGCAATATTCTAGTTTACTGAAAGACCAATGAAATGCTGGTGAACGACCGATTTATATTGGGTTTATCTTCCTTTGGGAAACTTATAAAAGCCTGAATCACACTAGCATACGAATACTTTGTGAATTTAGCTCGATTTCTTTTAACCGTTAGATATATTGTATTCAGATATTATGCTTTTCATTGAATTTCCAAAGGGAAAAGAAAATCGACGAAATATAGAACAAGGTTTTTATTCCTGGGTTTCGTATCATTTTGACGAATTGAAAATTTGGCAAATTAACGAAAATAATAAAATTTCTGTATTCCTGGAAACGACGATGTACCAGGTAATGTAATTAATTTTTTTTTTTCCTCTGCAAAGGATAGTAATGTAAATATGTACAGTACATATGGTCTTTTTTAATGAGATAATGGATCCATATGGAAACACAAAGGCACACCCAATATGAAGGAAAACTGTTGCGATATTTTAATTAAACTGATGGAATATAATTTCAATTAATTTGTAGTAATTAATAATATCATCGTGAGATACGTAGTCTAGGTTAAAATTTTTTTTTCAATTTTAATATTTATATTGATCATTGAATTATTTTTATCTACAGAGCTGCAATCTAAACCATTATCACTGCTTGTATCGAATTTTCTATTCGCTTCTCCCGGGAGATGAAATTCTGCATAATACAATTGCCCGGCATTCGCTTTCCGGTCCCTTTCATCTTTGTTAAAGTAACTGAAAGTCAGAATCTAATTTCTATTTGTACATTCGCGATGGCTGAACAGAAATAGAAACGTAGCCAAAGGTAAATCGTAGGATCAGTCGAGATAAACTCCGCAATTCCACAGCCTCTTCAAACAGACTTGACATAAATGAGTAATCCAGTGTACACTTATATACACGCTAATCCAAGATGAATTCTGGACCAGGCAGCTGCACAGCAAATGACAACATATATAGTAAACAGTATGGCGTTGAAAATTGTACACATTTATTATTTTCTTTTACCGACCGAGTGGCAGGAAGTTCGTTTAATATTTCTATAGAGTGCTCGGCGACGGTCGATAAAACAGAAAAAAAGTTTACAGAAAAAAAAATCTTGAGAAACTACCAACTTCCTCAGACAATACTAACAAATCTCCATTCATACTGATTGGCGCGTTGGAAATTTTATTAACCATGATCGTGCCTTTTAAATTTACTTAGTCTTCCCTCCGGAGCAAAAATCCATTACGATTTGAAATTCGCAACTGTACTGCATATACATACATATATGCTCGTCACGATTTCTGAAAGAAAACGAAAAAAAAAAAAAAAAAACAATATTTACAATAAACGAAGAAACGACAAAATAAAACGTGAATCAAAGCCAAACAGAAGTAAATATAATTTTACAATTTCCATTACCAACCTCGACGCTACATTTTTACCTCGTTCTCAAATTTCTCACGAACCACCACATAAGCCGCGTAAGATTCACAATTTACATATCGCAGCCAATCCGCCATTTGCGCTCGATTTCCCAAGGTAAACTATACGTGAATCGAATACAGCATCCTACGGAAATTCAAAGATCGTTCAGCGGTAGCTATAGTCTGAAAAGTATCACATCTACTATACCTATATACAATAAATACACTCATATATCTATATACCCTATGGAATATTACTTACAGATTAAACCAAAGGCTATAGACCTTTCCCGTTACTTTACCTGACATATTTATCTTCTCATTTAACGTACCTGTTGGCCCCACTAACTTGAACGCAGCGAGCAGTGAAATTTAATTTCCAGGACAAATAATTGGAAAGCGTTTAGCGGCCGGCTCAAGAATTATTGGTCGACCTGTCAGCCATGAGCACGAGGTTAACTCCCGACCCCTCGCCAGCTCAGCTCACAGAAATGAATTAATAAATTACAGGGGGCGTTCGATGAAAATGACTATTGATTCTATCACGAACGGCAGGAGGGCCCGAGGGGAAGGGTTGCGATATTAAAAGCAAGCGATGATTAATCTGCCACCGACGCTCCATGAGAACCGACCTTTCACCTTTAGCCTTAAGCTACCCAACAGGGAGTCGAGGGTGCGACGGGGGTTCGAGGATTGGATTTTGAAAATTTCAGATATTGCTCCCAATCAGCCGTCGAAATCCGTCCAAGAGAAACCGGAAGTAGTGGTCCTTTTTTTTTTATCAAAATTGTATAATCTAGATCACCCTTGTCAAACTAGCTACCCCAATTTACCATAGAGAAACTCTTGGACGAGGACGCTGGTTGGCCGACAGAATGCTTAATTACGATATCCCTGATTGCTGTGCGATTCTCTTGAATACTAATGAATTTGAGGAATCCTGTACGTGCTTAACTTCGGGTTATCAATAATCTCTTAGTATGGCTGATATATACGAAAGAGACGAATATAAGGGATATGGCTGTGATATTGTTGTAGAGGCAAAACGGGGAATTGGTACGATGAAATCTATATATAGAGACACTGTACAGTATGGGTTATAGTATAGCACAGGGTAAACATTGTTACACGAATTCATAGAACTTAATGGTATATTGTTATCACTACTGATGGGAAATGATTTCGGTGCTGATTATCTCCGTGAGAGTATCTCGAGTTAGACGCCGCTAGACGGGCGTCGGCGTCGATTGTAATTTCGACTGGATGCTTCAAGGGCGAAGCGTTTCGTTCATATCGAATGAGTTTACTACCCTGGCAATGGGATAACCTTTATCGGGTCTTACGAGAGAGACGTAATGCTGCGTTAGAAGTCCTGAAGTAATATATGGTAGCTTTCCTCGAGGAAACCTAAACGAAGGATAAATTGTTCGTTGTTTGTCATGGGTATATTAGTATTTCTCGAGGAGTCACCATTTATGAATGGACCTGTACCGAACTCGTCTTCAAGACGATCTGCAGTCTCAAACTGCCTCTTC